GAATGAATGAATGAATGAATGAATGAATGAATGAATGAATAAATAAATAAATAAATAAATAAATAAATAAATATTGTAAAGTTGTATTTCCCTAGTGGATATGACCTCTTCAACTATTGTTTGTCTAAAACCCTAGATCCTAAAATGCAAGCTCACTCTACAGCTTATGCCTGAATATTTATGTATCTCTGCCTTTTCTTCAAGTCGGTGTGCAGAGCACATATTTCCCACAAATTCCTCCCAGTACCTGGGTTGAGGATTGGTGACTGGTCCAAAGTCACCCAGTAAGCTTCCATGGCTGAGAAAGGATTTGACCCTGTTTCACCCCAGTTTACCTCAGCCACTGCACCACTGTGTCTGTCTTGAACATGGATAGGACAGGCATGCTAGTCTGTCCAATGCCATAAAGACCCACATTTCCCCTGCAGGTGTCAGTAGCACATTATGTACTTGTATTCCTCCATCTCCACATGTTTTTGTGACCATGCCTACGTATTTGCTGAAAAAAGTGGTATTCCAAATAGTATACATTTAACATCTATACAATTATACCCTGATCTTGAATTTATATAATCATCCTTTAATGAGCAAAATGTAATCATCTATGATACAACAACTTGCAATACCTCAATGGTACAACTGAAGCACTTAATTCTGGAAAAAGCAAGTGTCTTTTTTTCACCTCATAAATATCTTGCAATATGTGCCTTTTGCCTTAAATAGAAGAATAAAAACATGTATTAGGCCAATATAATATTTAGTGGATATAATCCAAAGATGAAGCATGTGATATAATTTAGGTTTTTTGATACTTGTTGTTCCCTTTCCTGGATATCCAAATGGGTTTTTAAAGAAACTGAAAGGTTAATTATTCATTTCCTGCTTATGAACATGTTGAGTAAACACTAAATTTCTGTCTGTGTCAATAAAAAGATTTTCTAAATGGTCTTTTTCTTCCAATGGCCTTGTTATTTTTCTTTTTTCTTTTTTTACCTACAAATTTCTACTGCCACCTAGAGATATTACAGTAGCAGCGTCATTACTGTTTCTGTTCTTATAATTAAATATTTATATTCAACTTTTCTCCCAAAAGTGGGGGAGGGCAAATTAAATCATTAAAGAAACACAGTTTTAAGGCCACATAGTTTAAAACAACCACTGGAAACAATAAAAACAGCAGCAAAGCCAGACAGTAAAAGCTAGTCAGAATGTTTAACAATGAGTTTTGAGCAGGGAGAGTGTTGAGTGATTTTTCATAAGGAAAACATACCAGAGAAAATCCTGAATGTCACACCCAAGAAAATCTTGCTTCTTACTCTTATTCACTGAACTTAGTAGCACAAAGAGCAGGTCTTCAAAGCCTATCATACATCTCAGGAGAGAAATATCAGCATTCTCTCAAAAGAGTTTAGCGCAAACTAACAGAAATTAGTTGCTTTAGATTATGTAAAGTCTTGAGCATATTAATTTCTGCTTCCCTGTCATCTTTGGTCATCCTGGTCATTTAGCTATACCTTTGCTAGTTAAAACTCTAGGAAAAATCACTAAGTATGACAAGACATGCTTTTTGCTCCTGCTTACTGAAATTTGCTTCTACATATTGAGTAACTTCCACTGCTGGGGCAGGAAAATACCGTTGCATAGTTTTCAATGATATTCCACCACAAAAAGCTTCATTTTTTCTCAGCTATTCTCATTGGTTTGATGGAAAAGAAATGGCTCCTTCTGTTTTCAAATGAGAAGCAACATTAGTGAAATTCTCATAGCTGAGTGCAGAGGTTTTGTACTTTTCCTCCATTCAAAGTAGCTAAGGGCTGTTGTGACATTTTATCATGCCCTGTCCTTCATGATAAAATAATCTCTCCATCCACCTCCTTGGTTTCTCTCTTGAGTTCAGTTCTAAGTGAAGACATAATGAGGGAACCCCTTGAGAGAAAGAGAAAGAAGGAAATGTGCAAGGGGAAGGAGGGAAACAGTAGGTTGGTTCACCTTTCACCATCTTGTAATAGAAAGCTCAAAAACAGAACTTTAAAAAAATATCAAGAAAATTCTGGAGACCCTGGAAGACCTTTTGCAAGAGAAAGAAATATTTCAGGAAATTGGATGACAGATTTTGGTACAGCCTGATTTTTGGTTTAGGGTGGAGCTTTGCACAACTACAGTTTCTCCTACAGAATGCAGAGAATATTATGAAAAAAGACATTGATGGTAGCTAAACTATAGTCATTCTAATATCTTTACTTTTCTCCTGTCATACAAAGGGCTGTTCCAGACTTCTCCCAAAAAACAGGCAGCCATGAAGAGCCCAAAGTTACTGGCTGAAACCAAATGTTTTAGCAAACAAATTATAGTATGAAGGGCCCCTTCTTCTCATCAAGGTGTTTAGTCTAATCAAGGGTTAACCTACTTCTCTTTGCAGCCAGAAATTACCACAGCTTTGTTTCTTCTATTCTGAGATTGCCAGGAATCCCAGCCATGAGAGGAATGCAGCTGGGCTCAGCTGTAGAACTTACCCTCACCTGAGGGAATATCCAAAAAGAAAAATTAGAAAGCTTCTCACTGCAGGCTGGTCTGAACTGGAAGGCTGTGGCAACCTGAAATGAGGGGGGGAAGCCTGCTTCTCAGAAGGTATAACTGAATTAAATTAAGAAACTCTGGTTTTCAGGACGCCTTCCCAAATTTGAGCCACAGGCCTGTTTCCACTTCTGCTCAAGGGTCATTTTACTCAACCTTTTCATTTGGCAAGAGAGCTACCCTTTTGGCTGGTGTGTGAAATAGTGTGGGGTTCAGGAGAGAGCTTGAAGTTGAATAGAAGCAGGAAGAAAATTGAGTTGATGTGATGCATTATGTACAACAGCAACAATCTGGTCATAAAGCAAATGGACTGAACTGGGAGATTGGGTAAAGTGAATTCTGTCAGACAGATTATAGGACCTGAACACATCGGGGGTACTCTCAGTTGCAAAGGCTGTGTTAAATATTGAATTATTTCAGAGAATAGAAGGATCAGAGGAATTCAAAGACCATCAGGTCAGCTTTACCATGAAGCAGTGCAAAGTAATTCATTTCAGTTACCAGATCTCAGGGAGGATCATTTCTCACCTCCCAACGCTGTCATTTGTAAGAGAGGCCAAATCTTTGTTCTGACTTTTCCTTCTGACCCAGGCATAGCTGAAATATGCAGTAGTCATTATGAATGATCTCTTGCCTCGAGGTCTCTGTAATATAGATCTCTGTATTAGTCCACCTAATTTCCACAAAAGCCCAACACTGCAAATAGAGGGAACAAATAATGTTTTGATATGTTTCTGATGACTGAAGCAAATAAATTAAGTCACACACTGCAGATGTGTGATCTTAATTTCTGGCCAAAGTTATCTATTTTGAGGTTTTCCACCCTAGTTGGTTACAGCAACACTGGAATGCATGCCAACATCCGCAAGCTTTGCATAACCTATGATTAAGACCTCTATTGCATTTCTTCCTGGACTTGGAAAAAAATTCCTTAGTATTAAACTCATTAAAAGGTTTGGGCATCCTCAAAGCTTCTTTCTTCCTTCTGTTAGGCAAGATCTAGTGAATAATCACTAAGGTTGTGCAAAGCCTGAAAGTGCCTATTCAAGGCCATTCCATAAAGCAACCACTTCAAGAGACTTTAATTGTCTTCTGTGCATACATGCAGATGGGTTGAAGACACCTCCACCAGCACTTCTGGCAAAGCAGACTTCATACCAGATGTGGCAATAAATATAAACTCCAGAAACTCAATCCAGTTACAGTAGAAGCTTCAAAAGCTTGACAGCTACATAAATTGCTTTATTGCAGACAAGAAAGGAGTCATATATTCACAGAAGATCTGTACATTACAGAACACAGGAATCAAATCCTATATATAAGTGAACCCAAAGTCTTTTTCTTGTGCCTTTTCAAATCAATGGACCTTGGGTTTTCCTTTTCTTGGCCTTGAGAGGCAAAGACCCTTTTTTCATGTTTACAGAATAGTTTTGCCTGGCCTGAGAATCATTGGTTCCTGCTTCATCAGCTTGAGTCCTTAAAACAGCCAACCAAAGTACAGCAGCCTGTCACAATGCTTTGACTTCTGGGTTGAGGCACCACCTTGAATGGAATAGTTCCTTCAGTTCAACTTAATGCAGCTCTGCAAAACAAAGTAATGTTGATTCACACAGACCTAGGGCTCATGCATTTCTTAACCTTCTAATTTTCTCACATATTTTCAAATGCTTAGACTGTTATTTTATTTATATTTGCCATAGAGTTATTTCTTTCTTCCTGCCTCCACTCTAGGCAAAGGTCAACTGGAGAACATCATATGAAATTCCAAAGGCTATACATACTCTCCTCTCCCTTCCCCACCCCAATTACAAAGGAACTGGCACTGAGTTTACAACAGATAAAGAGTTGAAGAGTTGATTTTCCTTCTGTGGATTTCCTTTGCTAATGACTAGCTGTTCAAAATATTCTCATCTTTTCATATAGCATTGGAACAACCTACAAAGGAACTACACTGATTTTCAGTTGTGGATAATAGCCAAACTTTAGTGCCATTGGGCTATTCCCAAGCAAAAGCTATTGCATAATTATTCCATCTTTCCCACCTTAATAAATCTGTTATAGTAAAAAAGAATTGGGAGAAGCTTTAGGAAATGTATGTATTGAAAACATTACCTTTAGGCTCCACTAAAAAATCTCAGTTGTACACAATCCCAGTGGGTTAGCAAATGTTTTACAGGAGATCAGTGCAACAGCTTGTGGCTCAATATTTTCATTCATGAGTGTGATGGAATATAAACCTGGGCCTGGGAATCAGGAAGGGATGAAAGCTTCATTAAGGGAAGAAGAAATTCAAAAAATATTACTCAGATCTGGGAAAGAAGAAAGCATGAGAAAAAATAATTCAAAATAACCCAGCTTTGATTTTATTTGTGTCAACTGTGGAAATTTTGACAGGCTTTTGAGATTCTGTTATACTGTAATACCCAGCAACAGTAAAGAACTTTTTTTACCCCTTGCTGCTCCTGTTTCTTGACTTTGTCAAACTTGAAGGACTGACAGTGAATTTGTAAAATAGTGAGTATGCATAATTTCATTAATGAAATTAGCATATAATACAAAACTGCAATTGACAAGCAAGTATTTTGAAAGTAGAATGAAAATACATTTCTTTTGTCTCACAAAATGAAAATGCTGGAGAAACCATGACAAATGAAACTTAGAAAAGGAGGATGAACCTTTTATTATGGGAACCAGAATATATAAGGAGTGGGGAGTAACTTTTCAGCATGTTCCAAAACTTAATGCATCAGTTGGAAAATCATAGGCAAAATCAAGTGATTCTAACAAAAATTAATTTGGATCACAGCTTATGTACCTTGAATTTCTTTAAATGATTTCTTTTTTTTTAAAGAAAAAGAAATAAGTAAATAAAAATGTGAGTTAATCCTTTAGTATCTTCAAAATGCCATAGGGTGCGCCTGCCTGTCTGCGCAAGTAGCTACACTCCCCCACCCCACTGCCACATTGACAAACTTGAGCATATCTCTGCAAACTGTCATTAGGAATTTCATTCTGACATAAAAATGTCATCTTTCAAAAGCACAAGCTAATTGACCCTTGAGCATAATTTATACAGTGTCTTGGCTTAGTCTTCTATCGTTAGTGGTTATTTGGCCTTATCCTCAGTATGTTCTAGAACTACAGCCAGTACCCAGAGCCACACCATGGGTGTGCCTGGCAGTCATGGGGCTGAGATGCCAACCACTGGAATGCATTTAATGTACCTTTTTTTCCCCTTGAGGCTGGGCTTCCTGCTCAGTCATAAGGAAAGACTCTTCTCCAGACTCTTGTCTGACTCCAGACCTTGAACGTTCTGGAATTGATTCGTGGTCAGTTTACACATAAACCATCTCACCATTCAGGGCTCATTTTCCTGCACAAATTCCAAGAAGAGACACAGAGTCATCTTTTATAAAAAAATAAAAATAAAGAAAAAATAACCACTTCCCATCATCGTTCCAAGAATATCTGCATAGTGGGTACAACCAAAAGATAAACAAGAGACTGCTATATTGTATGATGCAATTTTGCTAAAACCTATGGTTGCAAATAAACGTATGAAACTGAATATTGTATGATGCAATTGAACATATTTTAAAATTATATTGACTGGCAAATAATTAAACAATTGACCTGAAGTTATTTTGCTCTATTTGGATAAAGCAATAAAATGAATTTAGAATTCATTTTGACAGGAAAAAAAATCTGTCTTTTGACTATCATCAATGTTTGGTCAACTCAGTTCTACTATTGGGAGAAATCCAACAGGCAAAATCATAGTCAACTAACAAGGGAGAGAGAACTCAAAGTGGAGGGATTGGCATGACAAGAGACAAAACAGAAATTACAGCTTTCACATTAATGATATTGTCAAAACAGGAAACAGAAATGGAGAAGGCTTCATAGAAGAGGTATCAAAAAGTGCTTGGATTTGGCACTGATCATGAGGTCTTCCATGAGGAAAATCCTATGCTAACTGCTGGAGACATTCAGAGCTGTTTCATGATACCAGTGACAGGCATTAACATGCAAAAGTTCATTATCACCTTGGAGAATAAATGTTTTGGTGTTTTGCATACTTCCAGCATGGCCAAAAGAAAAATCATTCCTCCATGATAGCCCTCCATATCCCATCCTCCCAGCTTATATTTCTCTTCAGATGGGAAGAAAAGTAAAATCACTGGCTCTGGAATAGACTTTCAACCTTCCCCCAAAATAGAGATCCTCCAGCAGGGGTGTGCTTTCCTTGACAGAAGATCATGCTATAATAAGGTTCAAATAGTATTTCATGTGAGTCTAGAATATTCCCAGAATTCTCTTTAATATGTGGGAATTAATTCACATACACATGAGTGTCCTGAAGAACAATTTTGGGAGGGAAAATTATATAGGATAGCAATATTGACTAGAATCACACATCACACTAAACAATCCTAACTTGCTTAATCACGCTTTACTATCTGGTCCAGTCAACAGACTTAACCAAATCACATTATGATATAGTGCATTGTTTGGCCTAGCTATTGTTTTCCACAAATGAATTAAATCTCATTCAGATTTGAGATGAAATGTTTAGAAATTTCCATCTCCTGGTCCCATCCTTTCCCCTGTACCCAGAACAAAGTCCTGAAAAGGAGAGGTCATGCAGATGCAGCTCTGCAGAAAGATGTGCATTACTTTTCAGATTTTTGGCTTTACATGTAAAGGTTGAATGGGTCAAGTGGAACATCTAATATCAGTGTTGTGAAACCAAATGTAGTCTCAGTATGTATAATTCTTCGGTTACATTTGAGTAAATATGTAAGATATATTTAGATAACATTCAATTTTGCTGATAAACTATAGAACTGATTTTAAATACTTCATAAAGAAAACAATTAACCCTTGAAGCTTGCCGCTACAAGACACCAAGGCCAAACTTGATAGGATTTGCTCATTTTAAAGAATTAGCTATTTATGACTCATGGAAATGTCTTCTGTTTAACTGAACTATCATACATTCTTTTAGGGAATCCACGTTCAACTTAAATTATTTTGGAGAAAAGCTAGCAATTACACATGGCTCTGTGTTCAAGGCAAGCAATTGCATAATTGCCAATGGTGGGTGTTTTATTTTCTAAAGAATCTGATTCTGGCTACTGTTGGATATATGACTAAAGACAAGAAGGTCTGAACATGCATAGCAAGTCTTGCATTCCTGCGTGCCTGTATAATTCACTGAAGTAGGTTAAAAGTGAAGAATTCAGGAACACTAAAGATAGCTTGCCTTTGCCATGTCAAAACTTAGTACTTTTCAAATATTGGGGCAGGGGGTATTAGGCTCACATGAATTAGCTTTCCCTAAACTGGTATTTTTCAAATATAAGAGGTATCCATGGAGGAAAAACAAAGAAATCAAGATGGCACTGTGACTATATGATCAAAGCACCACCTTTTTTAATGTGTGTCATATGTAAAAAAGAGGCTACAATTGTGTTGCCCCAGCAGCCATCTTGATTTTTTTTTTTTAACCTCCTCTTCCAGATATCCTGGGTATCACAGATCTATGGAAGTTATACTGCCATACAAAGAAAGAACACCAAATAGTGGAAGAGCTTATATAAATCATCAGTTCAAAATATAGTTATGATTTATTTTTATAGAGATCAAAAAATGGGGGGGGAGGATACAGATAATGCTGCCTATTCTGCTTCTCCTGAGCTAAACTTCTACATAACTTTACTGTAGTATGATAAAAACCTTAAATAGAAATGCTGTCGTTGTCTGAATTTTATTTTAGGGCACATAAAGAATGTGTTCCATAAGATGATTGGATTCACACATTTCAATAAACCATATTGTGATTTGCTTGATATATTCAACCAAATAATTGTGGTATGTTCAACAAATCATGGTGAAACAAATGGAATGTACAAACTAGGCCTTAAGGTACAAATTTATATTCACTTCACTGGTAGTAGATCCCATTGGATTCAACTGAATTTATTTCTGAATAATGTTTAAAATTACGCTATTATGCAGTCATGCATTTTGGCCCGTTACTACATCTCAGCCTACTCTGTTTCACAGCATACTAGATTGATAGGTACAAATTTTGGTTATCAGAATGGAATAGACTAAATTACAGTGGAATATGACACCAGCCAATGAGTGTAGTAGGAGACAGAATGCAGAACTAGAATTTCTAATGAAGTTGGTACTTAACCGATGTAGCATCAAAAAAAAAAAAGTTTATGATGCTTGTTTGTTTGTCAGTTTAATGGTATTAATTTGTAAACTGGAATTTTTTTAAAACACTATCTTAGTTCCAGTTCCCAATACCATTTTCTGTGTAGGAGTAGTTGTGTATTTGCATACTGATTTATTGATTTCAGTTAAAAACTTGAGTTTCTAGTTTTTACTATAAAGTTGTAACTGTAATTCCTATTCAAAGTAGATTACCTAATCAGCTAAAACCCTTGTTAATGAAACAGTGGTTTTCTACCTGAATTTTATCATCCATATGTCTTTAGAATCTAGGACAAGATTATATTCTAAGTTAGGTATATGAAGAATACAAGAGGTTCTTTTTGCATTGCAAGATGTGCGGTAAAACTTGGAATCATACCCAGAGTTTTCTGAGCCAGGAAAAGAATACCATGCTGAAATGTGCAAGGCCTTGCTCAACAAAGAACAGTGCATAGGCAAATTGTTCACCCAAAAGTTTTCATCTGAATCCAAATGATATTAAAATTTCTGAAATTCTGCAGACTTGAGTCCTGAAACTTTAAATAGTTAAATTTTGGAACGCACAAATTACATTTCCATGAAGTGCAAGCCGTCAGCTGTTACTGTAGGTCACTAAGATACAATGAATTATTTTCTGCAGTTCATGGAAAACATTAGGCGGCTGTAATAAAGTCAATGGCATTTCCTTCCTTACTGAAACATTTGCTTCAGCAATCCTCTGTTTTGCTTCAGCGCCATTTCATGCTTAATAAAATGTCATGGACTTTCTCTTTTACTTTTTAAAGTTCTACTCGGTTGTTGTTCAGACCAAAACAAAATGCAGAGAAATAAAAATCAAATGTTGCTTTGCAGGTCTGGATGAATGAAAGAGGATGAAATAGATTTTTAAAATTCTAAACAGAACTGGAAAAATAGGGTTTTTTTGATGTGCTGGTGAACAGAAAGTTACCAAGAAAGAATACATCGTAACATATTTGAAAACACTAAAATATTAAGGAAAGGAGCAACAGCATTTTAAAAGTTTTATCTATTTTCTTTTATTTCCCTATAAACCATATCATCTCACTTTCTTATGTCCCTGTACTTATCCCTATTCTTTGCAATGAATCTGTTTAAATCCAATGCACCATTAACACTGATTTCTGCCAGAAGATAACAGATCACTACACACAGGTTTACTTAGGATGGTGTATATGATAGCTACAAAGAATTTTAAATAGATTAATTAAAAAGCAGTAGGACTCAAGCAGTCTATTTTGTGAGCCAATGAGCTAGATCGTCAAACACTTGGTACTGCCATCTACTTCTCAATAAAATCTTCAGAATTATATTCCAGAAAGATTCATCTGAAAACAACTTATATCAACTAAGTTGATATAACTCCCCCAGCCATCGGAAGGAAATGAGTGGGGAGAAATTTAATAAATTTAATAAATAAATAAACAAACAAACAATGTTGCATCTGAGTTAATATAAGGGGGAAAAATAGGGAAGTACTCTGTTATCCATATAGAAATTCAAGCTGATCAAGAACAACAGAAAGGAGAATGGGGGAGCTAAAACAAGATTTAGAATGTTTACTTTTACAGACTTTAACCTATTCTCTGTCACATTTCTTTTAATCTGCTTATTGTATCTCTCCCCACCCCTACTTCTTGGCACAGTGTGGATTAAATGATCCTGCAGGAACGCTAGAGTCCAATATAAGTGGACAATCATGGATAGATGTGTGAAATACAGATGACAGGGCAAGATCATGAGGTTGTGATGAAACTTGTCCTCAGTGAAGGGTCAAATACTCAAGATCCTCCTAGTTTTGAGGATCTTGAGGATTTTACAAAGAGATGCTTAGTGGATCAATGATTGTACAATGGAATTATAATGATATAGTGTTTTAGTCCTGAGCATAGATTGTTCATGTAAATGTTTTCCTATGCCTGTATGTTTTTCCTCGTAGTTTTTTGTCCTTTGGGTGTCAACAGCCCAGTAAATAGGAATGTTTTAAGGTATTCATTTAATTGCCTTGAAAAGTATTGAACCGTATGATCATTTCAATGAGACTTCAACCCCAGCTGACTTGACTGAGTGTATCTATTATAGGTATCTTTTTAAGATAATGTTTACTACTTTGTTGGTTTCATAATTTTTGTTTGTTTTCTTTGTGTTGCCTGGAGACCTTTGGGATTAGGGCGGCTATAAATGCTGTTAATGAAATAACTAAATGAATACTGAACCATGGATTCCTCCCCACTCCAAGTATGGGGCCCCTGGGCCATTGGCCACATTACCCTCTTCCTAAAACTCTGCATGAGACCTTTGGCTTCTTGTCTTACAAATAGCTTCACACAATTTGGTCAATGCTATTATATTTCATTCTTCCACTAACTAAATGTTCAGGGCACTTCTGAAGCAGGGAGTTTCCTCTATATATCTTGTCCCCTGATCATTAATAGCTTTGATTGGGAAAGAAAAAGTCATGTCTTAAAATAACTCAGGAGTCTGCTGATGTGGACTTGTCTATTGAAGGACATGATGGAGATATATACAGGACTGCCCTAAACATTTTTCTGTCTCAGATTGACAACGTGGAGCTCTCTTCTTAGTCCAAGGCATAAACTGACTGGACTGCTGAATGCTTTTAGCATTTAACCAGAGGAGAGCATTTCCATCATATTTGTGGCAGCAAGCCAGTTTAGTGTCCCCAAGATAGGTTATATCATAAATCATAACGTTCTCCATCAGAGGAGCACTCATCAGTCTAATGACTTTTCATGGTGAATCAGAGAACTGGGATTCAGATACTTAAAAAGGATAAAAGCAAAAGTATGCAAAGATTAGACTGCTGGAGAAAATGAACAGTGCATGTGACTAATCATTTCATAATTATGTGATGATAATATTCTGACATGTTAACAATCAGGTCTTTTCTAAAGGATGATATAAGGAAGTTTACTTTTCAGTAGCATG